CCTGAGCGGATAGCCAGGCTCACTAACCACTTATGACGTACCCGATCTCCAACCTCCCTCTCACTGCGCACCTCCCGCGCCATCAAATGCAGCGCAGCGCGCGCGCCGAAGGAGTGGCCCACCAGGAACACTGGCCTGGTTGGTTTCATGTTTGCTGCTCACCACATGCCAGGCTGTTTCCCAGCTGGGTATTCACCGCCTTTTGCCGCGTCTCGGCCTGGGGCCCGACTCAACTGGGAGGCATTCGCCAACTTTCCGTTCCCCTGATTTCAAGTGGCAAAGTTGGACCCCCACCAACTTTGGTTTGGTCCTTTTAGGCAACTGACAAGCTATCAGTTGCCTTTTTCCCGATTTGGGCTTGGGGCTTTCCTTCGGTCCCCCAAAAGATGCCAACTGAAAAAGGGGGGGTGCCCTCAAAACAAGGCGGTGCTTTTTGGTTCCTTCGTTTTTTCTCCCACATGTGAAAGCACATCCACATGTCACACCTTACTTCCCAAAGCCCTGCTGCCCTGCCTCTCTTGCTTTGCTGCCGCCTTTGCCGCGTCTAGCAGCTTAGAAAGGAACGGCGCTTCGCGCTCTGCCTAGGCGCGGGGAAGTTAAGTAAGTGGGTGCCAGCCTGAGGTGTGCATAATGTACCCCGTTCATCAGGGAGGTCGCCAACTGGTCGCCCTTTGACTTGCAGCCACTTTAGAAAGCAAGTACGCCGCCTGGTGAATGCTGCACTTGAGACTCGAGTTTGCTGGGGGGAATCAGCGGGGAATGAGCCGATATGTGGGAGATATCTGTTTCACTGCGTGCTTGCAGGGGTTTGACATAGCGCAGTGGGAGGGAGTCAGGCAACCAATCTTCGGTCAATCAATCCAGGTAACATGAGCACAGAAGCTATACCCGCTAATATCGAACAGCTTAGCCTATGGAGTTGAGTCATGTTGTAGCACCCTCAGCCCTTGTTGTTCCTGGCAAGCTGCTTGTCCGCAACCTGCACCTGCAAGTTGGTTGTCATAACTGGGCTGTCCTCAGATCCCTGCTAAATGTTTAACTATTAGCGGCTTAAATAATCTCACCCCCCTATTAATGAACCCAATTAATAAAAGATCGAAATCCGGGGCCCGGGACCAGATTTCCACTCGGCACAATTGATTTTTAAATGAGCCAATACTAAACCAATACTAAAGTCTTGGAATCCTTATTCGGGGGCACTTTAATTATTGGGGTGTCCCTCAAAAGAAAACATGTCCCCAAAAGCTGTCTAGCTGCGACTGTCTCTCTCCCGTACATGCTGGCTAATTGATTACCTAACCTGCCTGGCTGCAAGCAAACAACCAGTAAACTGAAAAACAAATAGAATGACACATAAAATGTCCTTATTAAACCGCTTTCTCGCGGACCTTACAATTCAATCCATTTCCTCCAAATCCTATGTGAACCCGCAAAAAAAAAAACAACCCCAAAAAACCCAATTTAAAAATAAAAACATGTTTTTGGGGGGGAATTTTTTATAATTGGGAGGGGGGGGGGGCGTATTTATTAATAGGGGGGTGAGATTAGAAACTAAACCCTAAAAAAACTGAAAACCTACAGGGATGCCTGGGAACCGCCAAGATAAACTGCGCCTTCAACCGCGCACCAGCTCAAGACGAGGAATTTCTGCAAGTCCGAATCCTGCCAGTCCGAATCCTTCTTGCAGAGGTGACACCCTGCTGTTGAATGCCCTTGGCAACTGCTCGACATGTCTGATACTTTGCCAGCCAACCCGGAACCAACATAGACACAACCCGTCAACTGCGGACAGGTCCACCCAACATGTTGGGGAGTGGCGCAGCTCGGATCAAACTATGCAAATCAGGACGTATATGCATCTAGGTCTAGAACGACACCTGCCCCACACAACACTCTGGGGTTGTGTTTCACTTCCGTTCTGGCTTTGGATGAGACTCGTGTTGACTATGTCCAGTGGCAACAGCTAAACCCATACATGTGCCCCGGGATCATCTGGAATCTCAGCATGAGTGACTTTCGAGGCTTTGGGCTTGTGCTCGAATTCAGGCGTGCCCACGTGCAAAGCGTACAAGTTACATCGATTGACTGCCCCAATACCCCCAAAAGCAAGAAACCACAAAGAGGTTGCGAGTACTGAGTATGTCATGCTGGACTATGTTCTTGCTTAATCACCTTCACACTCAACTGCTTGCAGGCAAGATGCGGAGGTGAGATTGGGCGTCCCTCCAAACTTCACATCTTTGAGGATTCCTGTGGACCAGGAAAAGGGACAAGGGCGGCTGTTGCAAATGAACATTGGGTGCTTATACAAACGATTAATGCTCTTGAGGAATGCCAGAACAAAATTCTAGAAGTTTGGCAAAGCACATCACTGATCCTTAGCGTGGTCTGAGGCACAACTTAGATAGCGGCATGGGAGAACGTTGCTTAACACCACGGTGAAGAACATATGCAGCAAATACAGGGAGCACTGGGCGTCCCCTTCAAAAGTTGCAATTCACCAGTGGTTTCCATTGGTTTCCCACCTTTTGGAGGCTCCAACAAGGAAATGGCTCGGAAACCCCGAAATGCCAGGTCATAAACTCCACAACGTACGTCAAGTCCAAGTATCCAAAGCTCTTGAGCATTCCTTGCCGCGAGCGTCCGCCGCTAGCGCCAGCGGCGCAAAGGAAGATCGACTGGGCAATGGCGGGGTTTGGCGCTTTGTCGCACAATTTGTGCATGGCTTTGACACCTCGGTCTCAACCTCGCAGTGGGAACGGGGGAAAGTGATCGAAGCCACGGCATCAGGGTGGAAGGGGACAAAACAAAACATCGCGACGTGCTTGTACCCTATGATCGTTATCGCATGATCGTTTTTACCAAGTGATGTTCAATTTCGTGGCTGCCTTTCACCTTTAACTGCATATGCAGTGCCGTAAGCTCTGCGCAGAAGCCAACCAGCCACATAGCTGTTCCTGCCGGCAATCAATATCTCCACATCTATTTTGCCCTGACCAAAGTAACCCGTAGAAAAAGTCCGTCCTCGAGTGATACCTAAATGCCAGGCCCTCGTCATTGCCCTGCGTGCAAGCGCATCCCAACGTGCAGCCCCAATCCCGACAGCAGGCCTTTGCCGGCTTCACCGCTGCCTTGCCGCCTGAAGCGCGCTGACATCCGAAGACGGCCATCAAAATCACGTCAAGTGAGCCACAATCAAAATCCGGGTAGATGAAGCTTAGTAAAGGATGATCCGAACCATAAATAGCTGCGGACGCCTTCTTAATTCCTTGCATGGTTCTGGGTAGACCATTTTAGTGCCGGGCTTTGATTGTGCTCAAGTCTTCGCTAATTGCATGGCTTGGTCGCATCGTTACTGTATCTATCCAAGCCTCAGCCTCTCCGCCTGGTTTCGTGGCAGTATTGGCATATGAGTCATATGAGCCTCGACCCAGGATTGGTTACCACGCGCTAAACCATTCTGGCTTCAACTTGGGCGGCCGTTAACCTGGAAATGGGTGAATCGTTTGTGCTGGTCATACTTGGCTCGCAAACCAGCATGCTTCCGGCTCGCCAGGGGGTGGGCCCTCCGGCTGACATGCTCCCGTGCCTGGGCTGCGCCCGGCCGGACGTTTTGCCACCATGGCGGTCTGCCGCCGTGCGACCCAGAAAACCCTCCAGCGGGTGCGAAGATGCATTCTGTGGTGGAAACAAAGAGCCTCTGAGGGCATCTCTTGTCGTCTATGACCCGGTGCTCCGGCAACATATCTTGAGCCAAAACGCAGCTATGGCTAACTCCCCAAATATCTATAACACGTAAACCGACCACAACACATGGGAATACACAAGGCTTCCCTTGTTTGCTCCTTGCCATTTAAAAGAAAACCGCTGGTTGCACGGGCCGGCGATGTCAGCTTCAAGAGACGCAAATGTCCCGAGTCCAAAGCTTGTAGTATACCTTATCCCTCCAGAGGTGAGCTCGATTCAAGCGAGGCAACTTCGCGCAGTTTGCGGTGGCATAGTGGGGTGACCACTGACCCAAAGTGATGAACGCTCAAATGGAGCCGGGTCAAATAACAGTTGCAGCATGGCCACAAGTCTGGCACCAGCAAATGCTGAAACTAAGCACGTGGTCGCAGAGTCAGAAACTCTCCTACATCCAAGTGATTGCTGGTCTTTCGCCTGATGTTTGTGTCCGAAAGCCTCCTAGGATCACGTGGCAGCCAATCGGTCCAGCAGCCTGTCGCAGCCTGATGGCCAAACAAGTGCCATCCGCTCGAAATCAATGTGCATGACCAAGTCTTGCAGGGCTAGTAGCGAGGCGGGTGGAACCGCTGGCCCACACATCATCCCCCCCGCCCCGCCCAAAGACACAAGGCACGGGAATGTCGGCCAAACGATCAAACACCCGCATGGCCTTGCACGACATAGCTGCCACGAGCTGCAAGCAAAGACTTGTTCTCTCCACCTCATTGCGTCAGGAAATCCCAAGGGTGGCCTTTTCAAGCTTTGATCCAGCCTTGGCGCATGCGGCATGAAAGGCATGTCTGAGAGGATCTCAGGGCAAACAAAAATGCCAAGTCTTGGGATTGCCTAGTCAGCCAACCAGGTCTTGACCTGTGCCGGATCTTAATTCTGCTCCGGGCCGCCGCTCGGGAAGTGAGGCATGTGAGGGCGGACCAGTGTGATGGATTCCAGATCGCAAGTCCATCATGCTGGACGACCCCCAGGCCAGCTGCAACGAGGCCCGTGCATTGGCTCATTCGGAAAGCGCGTTGCTAGGGGTGCCCTTTTCCAAAGCAAAGCCAAGGCATGGCAGGTCAAAAAGGCAGCCATGGGTTGTACCCGGTGTCTAGAAAACCCAAATCGGGCGGCACAAACTTCAAGCACCAGCCTCCTTCTTAGAAGGAAAGGCACGGTGCGGCAAAAACAGGCAAAGCGCAAAGGAGCGAAACAAGTGTCGCTCTCGTCTAAAAGGCTGTCAACCAAATTGAGTCATTCGCGGACAGGTTGCCTACACCTGAAAGAATTGAAACCTTTGCGCTACACGTGCACGAGCGAAACTCTCAGGACCTCTGAAGGCGCCGCTCCTTCACTGTCGGACCGACATCCTTGTGTCCACTTCCGCGCAAATCTCCTGTGCGATTGCGGGCATGCGAGTAAGACTTGTCAATGAAGCTCCGCAGCATCACCATGTCCATCCACAAAGGGCGAAGAGGCTGGAAGAGGCGATGCAACGACCAATGAACCCGTGCCGACAACACGAACACGGAGAACCCATCCACAAAAACGTGTCACTCGGGACTTGGGATCGGATCGGCAGCGCCTCGAAAAGCAGGTTCATGAAGCACTGCGTCTGCAAGAAGGTCTTGTAGAACTCGACCTGAGGCCCGGATTGCGCCCCCCAGGCCCAGATCGGAGACGACTTCCAGGGTCATGGTACTCAGGTGGGTAATAGCCATGAATAAATAACCCACCTACCACGGGCATCAGTCTCCGTCCAGTGGGCTATAAATCATAACCATGCTTGCTGGCCACTCAGTGACA